CTTAGAACTCTGCACCCCATTCAAAGCTCCATCTTTACCTCATGCGTCCCTTTAGGTGAGTCTCCTTTCCTCTCTGAGCTTCTGTTCCCTCCACTGAGAAGTAAAGGAGGCAGCTCCAATCCTGTCCAGGGTCCCTTCCCACTCTGATCCTCTCCGTGAGCCAGGGAACCCGTGTCATCACGAGGCCTCCTGATCCGGCTCTGAAGAAATGGGCCAATGGCACTTGGATGAGGAAAGTGCCTGAAGGAACAGGCTTTGCTCTTCCCCTGATACTGTGTCCCATGAAGGACACACTCGTTGGGCTGGCCAAGATCACGTAATGCTTCCTACTTTGAGAAATTGGGGGAGGAGGGTGTGGGCCCCTATATCACTTACTTCTCCACAAACCAATTCCATCTACTTGAGGGGTCAAGTAAAGCTGGCCAAGTGCCAAGGAGAACATTCAGAACATTCCTGAGGATTTATCTCAGCCTCTCAGTGTGCGACTCCTGATAGAAGCAAAGACGCACCATAGCAGCCAAACTCAAGGTCATCGAAGTGCAGGATGCGTGATACAGTACAGAGCCTCCTCCACCTGACTCACCTCTACATACACAGAGCTCCCAACCTCCCACCCAACACCTGCGTTCCCCTTTCTCCTGCTTTGCCTGAACTTCTTCCTCCATTAGTCCCACTAGGATCTTAGCATTTCCCCACTGTGTCCTCTTGGTGACACTTTCACAGTCTCTCTGAACAAGGCTGAAAATGTCCCTCAGGACTGGCCACTTTCTCCATCTCTTTGGCCAAGGCTGCATTTCTCCCATTTGTCCGCCAGATGTCCTTCTTTTGAGTTTCTCCTCTTCATGGAGCCAGATCTCCCAACAACACTCTAGGACATTTCAAGGTCAGGTCAGAGGTGATGGAGGTGTTAGGGAGATGCAGGCAGGGTTCAAAGCTGGGAGGAGCGAGATCATCTGTAAACCAGATGGGCCTAAGAATTAGGCTTTCCCATCTGGGCAATGGAAGCAAAAATCCTCATTTCACTCATCCCCAGGGACAAGGTTGACATTCTTCTGTGTGATGATGTGGAGCAAGAAGATATGGATCTGTCACCTGAAGAAAGAATGTTTTTGCAAGAGTTTCCCATCATTAAAAGTGAGATGGAAGAGGACATCAAAAAGGCCCATGCCCTTGCAGATGAAATCGACAGAGCCCAGGAAACATTCACCAAGACCAAGGTGGTGACCAGCTCCGTCGCTGTCGCCTCAAGTGTGATGTCAATCCTGGGTTTAGTCCTCGCTCCAGTGACAGCAGGAGGAAGCCTGATACTTTCTGCTGCTGGTACAGGCTTGGGGACAGCAGCCAGTGCTGCCAGCATAGCGACCAACATCATGGAAAAAGGTCGCAATAAAAGAGTCCAAGCTCAGGTCAGCGGCCAAGGGTTTACCCGTGACCAAGCGTTCAGCCCGGGTATAGACCTGGCATCCTATGTTCAGAATGTCTATAAATTTGGAAAGAACATCAAGGATACCAAAAAGAACATCGATGCCTTGAAGATAGCCAAAGCCCATCCACGCCTGGCCACCGCTGCCAAGCATCTCCTGACCTCTGGCGAAGTCTCGGTCCGCAGGGCCAAACAGGTGAAAAAGGCCTTTCAGGGTACAACGCTGGCGATGAAGACAGGTACTTGCTTGATGAGTAGTGCGATGTCTGGCCTCATCCTCTACATGGAGTTGCGCTCTCTCAAGGATGACTACAAACAACTGAAAGACGGAGCAAAGACAGAGTTGGCAGAAAATCTGAGGACTAATGCCTTGGAGCAGGAACAAAAGCTGACAGAGCTCACCCGGCTTTATGAGACCCTGAAGAAGAAGGTGAGGCTGTGCTCTCCCCCTTGGGTGGGGCTGGAAGGAGGGGGGAGATTTAACTGGGGCTGGTGGGCANCACCATAGCAGCCAAACTCAAGGTCATCGAAGTGCAGGATGCGTTATACAGTACAGAGCCTCCTCCCCCTGACTCACCTCTACATACACAGAGCTCTCAACCTCCCACCCAACACCTGCGTTCCCCTTTCTCCTGCTTTGCCTGAACTTCTTCCTCCATTAGTCCCACTGGATCTTAGCATTTCCCCACTGTGTCCTCTCGGTGACACTTTCACAGTCTCTCTGAACAAGGCTGAAAATGTCCCTCAGGACTGGCCACTTTCTCCATCTCTTTGGCCAAGGCTGCACTTCTCCCATTTCTCCTCCAGATGTCCTTCTTTTGTGTTTCTTCTCTTCATGGAGCCAGATCTCCCAACAAAGCTCTGGGACATTTCAAGCTCAGGTCAGAGGCGATGGAGGTGTTAGGGAGATGCAGGCAGGGTTCAAAGCTGGGAGGAGTGAGATCATCTGTAAACCAGATGGGCCTAAGAATTAGGCTTTCCCATCTGGGCGATGGAAGCAAAAATCCTCATTTCGCTCATCCCCAGGGACGAGGATGACATTCTTCTGTGTGATGATGTGGAGCAAGACGATACGGATCTGTCACCTGAAAAAAGAATGTTTTTGCAAGAGTTTCCCATCATTAAAAGGAAGCTGGAAGAGGACATCAGACAGGCCCATGCCCTTGCAGACGAAATCGACAGAGCCCAGGAAACATTCAGCAAGACCAAGGTGGTGACCCGCTCCGTCACTGTCGCCTCAAGTGTGATGTCCATCCTGGGTTTAGCCCTCGCTCCAGTGACAGCAGGAGGAAGCCTGATACTTTCTGCTGCTGGTACAGGCTTGGGGACAGCAGCCGTGGCTGCCAGCATAGTGACCAACATCATGGAAAAAGATCACAATAAAAGAGTCCAAGCTCAGGTCAGCAGCCAAGTGTTCACCAGTGACCAAGCGTTCAGCTCGGGTAAAGACCGGGCATTCTTTGCTCTGTATGTCTATAAATTTATAGAAGCCATCACGAATCTCAAAAACAACATCGATACCTTGAAGAGAGCCAAAGACAAGGGTACAACAGTGACAATGAAGACAGATACTCTCTTGATGAGTACTGTACTGGTGGGCCTCAGCCTCGGCCTGGAGTTGCGCTCTCTCATGGATGACTATGAACAACTGAAAGATGGAGCAAAGACAGAGTTGGCAGAAAAGCTGAGAGCCAATGCCTTGGAGCAGAAACAAAAGCTGACAGAGCTCACCCGGCTTTATGAGACCCTGAAGAAGAAGGTGAGGCTGTGCTCTCCCCCTTGGGTGGGGCTGGAAGGATGGGGGAGATTTAACTGGGGCTGGTGGGCACCACGGTTTACGGGAGGGTGTTAAGGAAGCCAGCGCATGTGTGACGTTTGCATGGAT